AAGACATTCAAGGAGTGCTCGATCTTCTCCCGTTGTACCCTCAGCATGTCTGTAGGTTTCCAAGCAAACATATCAGCGTTGGCACGTAGGAAGGAGATGAGCGCGCTTTCCTATTTGGGGTCGAGGTGAGCCCCAATCTTCACGGTCTTGGAGGGGTCATCGAGGCCGAGGCCGACCTCCTTGGTTTCCTTGGACTTGGCAGAGGCGCAAGGAGGCTCCAGCGATGGGATCTCCAGGTCGTTGGCGGGCACCGTCTTGGCGTCAGTGACCACACTGGCCATCTAGATGGAGAGGTCGGTGGCTTCGGCAAAGGCGAAACTCTCTGTCTCGTAGGCGTAGGCGATGGAGAGGTTGGCCCACAAGGCCAGGACTCCGGCAGGCGAAGGCATCTTCAGCACTAGATAAGCATAGTGAGGTACAACAATGAACTTGGCCAGAGCTGGCCGATCAAGTATGGCGTGATAGGTGGTGTTGAAGTCGGTGACATAGAAGTTGATGTGCTCGATGTGGTAGTTGATTGCCGTGCTGAACTACACTGGTTGGGTGATCTCTCCAAGCGGCTTGGATGCCCTGCCAGGTACCACACCCCAGAAGGACGAGTCTAAGGGTGTGAGATCTGTTATCCCGAGGCCCAACTCCTTTAGGGCTCCGGCGAAGAGGAGGTTCAGAGCGCTCCCACCGTCGACGAGCACTTTTCTGAAATGCACTTTCTAGATGGTTGCGTCGAGGACGAGGGGGAAACACCCTATGTAGGGGATGTATGCCCACTGGTTGGCCCTGCTAAAGGTGATGGGGACCTCGGACCGAGGACAATAGCTGGGGTTGGTGGTGGCGTCTTCCATAGTGATGGTGAGCACCCGTCGGGCGACGAGCTTCCGTTCTCTTCTGCTCTCTATGGAGGTGAGGCCCCCGAAGATGGTGGCGACAACCTTGTCGTGATCCTAGAAGGCATTGTTATTGCCCCCAGGTGGTCGGCGGCCTCCGGCTCCGTCGTTGGTGTTGTCGTCATGCTTTTTGTCCTAGAACTCCTTAGCCAACCGAGGCAGTCCTTCATCTTATGCTTGGCGTTCTTGTGGAGAGGGCACGAGCCGTCGAGGATCTTCTTGTACTGCTCATCGTAGTTGCGCTTAGCGCGAGGTTCATTAACGGCGGTGACGATGTGGTCTGGCCGGCGGCGGCAATTTTGACCAAACTTGGATCCTTCTGGCCGATCACGGCCATTGTCCCGGTGGTAACTACAGTCGTCATAGCGGCGGTCATTGTGGCGTCGGTCGCCGGGGTAGTCATCATAGTGGCGTGTTGCGCGATGAGTGCCTGCATCCTCATTGAAGCGCACCTCGGCTTCCTCGACGTCGGCGTATTGGTTGGCAGTCGTGATCATCTCGCCAATCTCTGTGGGCGGCTTGCGGTTGAACTTGGAGCGAAGCTCACGGTGATGGAGTCCTCGGATGAAGGCGGTGATGACCTCAGTTTCCGTGATGTTGGGAATAGAATTCCTCATCTCGGAAAAGTGTCTGATGTAGCTATGGAGGAGCTCGAATGGCTTCTGGTAGATGCGGTTGAGATCATGTTTGGTGCTCGGCCGAGTACACGAAGCCATATAATTGTCGGTGAAGACTTTTTCAGCTCTTCCCGGGATCCGATGGAGTCCAGGGCAAGGCTTGTGAACCAGTTCATGGCGGTTGGTGTGAGCATAACGGGAAGATAGTTCACCATGACACTGGTGTCTCCTCCAGCGGCGCGGACAGCAGTGGCGTAAGCCTGTAGCCACTGTGTTGGGTTCATCCTTCCCTCGTAGGGCTCGACCCCAATGATTTTAAAACCACAGGGACACTGAAGTGTTCGGAGCGCCCTCGTGAATGCTGGGGGCCCTTCGGGGTTGTCGACGCCATCGTCTGCAGCGTTGCCGATGTTGAGCGGCTTGAGAGCTGAGTCCGGGTTACCGTACTCTTGCTCGTACTCCTGGCGGCGGCGTACTTCTTCTTCATGGCGACCGAAGCGGCGTTTGTCGATACATTGTCGCGCATCTCGAAGATTGTTGAGGTGCACTCGGACATCCTGGTCGACCTCCTGGTCATGTTGGCGGTGATGTTCAATACGGTTGCCCCTAGCTCCGCCCTAGAGGGGTTGCCTGTCGTCGCGGTGCTGGTCGGTGAAGCAACTTGGGCGGCGATCGGATCTTGGCGTGGTTGATCGGCGAATGGAGGTTGTGGAGTATGAAGGTCTCTGATCCTAGCGGATCTCGTTGACCTGACAGTGCGCCGCTTTAAGCATGGCAGCGACCTTGGCGACCTCTGGTGTCTGCGGGAGCCGGGCGAGCTCGTTGGCGGCCACTGCCATATTGGTGCTTGGAGTCTTGTAGACGTCATGGCCGTCAACACGGACAAACTCGTCGTTGAGGTTGCGTTGGAGTGGCCTTCCTTGAGAGTCAAGCTGCTGCTCGGCCATCGCAAGGGCAACCTTGTTTGCTCGGCGCTGTGCATGGTTGATGTTCTGGTTCTCGCGAGCGGCGTGTTCCTCCTCGGTTTTGCCGTTCTGAGGGGGGCTGTCGACGCTGACGTTGAAGATTGCGCCGTCACGGAAAGGAGGGAGAGGAAGTAGTTCGGTGGTAGTCTCAGCGACAGTCTCCGTAGAGCCCTGGGACTCGGAGTCTAGAGTCTCCTCCAAGATGGTTTGGTGGGATACTCCGGGGCATCGGCCGACGTGCAATATGTTGACGGCCGGCGGAGGCTGGTCGGCGATCTAGTCGGCGAGAGGATGGACATCTCCAACCTGGTCGGCGAATTTGCCCCTTAGGGCATCTTGGTAAGCGGTGGCGACGTTGGTGAACCCAAAGGGTAGGGCCGTAACCCCCAGAGTTTCCCGAGCAACTTCCGATAGATCTGGATCGGAGGGTGGTCGGCGCTGAACCAGAGTGTCCAGAGCCAATTCGGTGATGGAGAGGCAATCGGCGAGCTTCTGACCAACCTGATCGATGGATGCGATCAGATCGTCGTTGTTGATCTACCTCCTCTGGTAGCGAGGAACCGGGCGGCGAATTGTCGATGAAGGCGACCTCGGAGGCGGTTTCGAGATCGGATATGCAGTCGCAGGTGTTGGGGTGATCGGCGCAGAACCGATCTGCACCAGCTCGATGAGCTTTCCGACTCCGTCAGCGTTGATGTCCCACGAGATCGATCCGACCGTGAAGATCTGGCCGGGCTGCGGGAGGGCCGAAGAGCCTGCATAACATACCATCTTGTTCGATATAGAAACTGCACGCACACCCCTACCAGGCGCGCCAACTGTCGACAAAATATCATCGGTAGTCCTCCGAGGGGTATCCCACGAAGGTAGATTGATCGGCAGAGATGCGTATAATCGAGAAGAAGAAGGCAACAGAGACACACGAGTTAAACAGGTTCAGGCCATCAATTTGACGTAATACGGTAATACCCTACTCCCGTGATCTGGTGGATTGTATTGGCTATCGTATGATATTGCGTGAGTTTGGAGGGGGTCCCTACCCACCTTATATAGTCCGGGGGCAGGGTTACAAGTCGGTTAGATCTGAGAAATAACCGAAAAGTAATAACAGATTATAGGAATCATAGGATCATACGTATCCTAATATATCTCATAGTATCTTTAGGATATCTTCCCGGTGTTTTGCGGGAGACGCCGATTATCTCGCCATGGCCGAGCCCGACCTGAGCGGGATGCGTGCGGGCAAGGGAGCTGCGTGCGTCGGGCGTAGACGCGGGAGCTCCGTTCGGACGGACGCCGCCTACAGAGCGGGATGGGCGCGAGGTGAAGGGAGGTACGTGCGTTGCGCTAGGGAACAGAGTGCAGGTCCGGACACGGGTCGAACGCTAGCACTACCGTTATGAAATTGCGTTTGCCCATTGTAATTATGTCTGTGAATGTTTGATCTATTATTGGCAATCAATATTTTGGTTAAGGTCAAGACAAGTTGATATGCCTTACCACGCTTGCCGCGATGTTAAGGACAGGCAGGTTGGTATCGAGTGCTCGCAGGAGAGCAACCGAGGAGACAAACGCATCGTTAATATGCTGGTCGATCATGATTGCACTTGTAATACTCCTTTATCCTAGAATATAAGAATAAAAAATATAAATATATATCAAATTATATAGTATTTTAGGTAAATTAACCCTTGCATACTCATTTATTAACATCCTATGCTGCGTTGGCACGTGTATCTGTCACTAATGTATATTGTCAATCCAACCATGAGATAAAAAATATGGTAGGCCTAGTTGTTCGGCTCATGGTTTATGCGATTGATAAGTTGGCTGAAACTAATTTGTTGAGAGAGAAAAACATTATTCCATAGCTGATTAGTTGGTGTTAAACTGAAGTTATTTGCTTTAAAGGAGAGTTACATATGTTATTTGCTTTATCTTATAATCTTTCTTATAAATTTCTAAATTGCCTTGTATTAGTTGGTGTCAGACAGAAGTCAAAACTGAAACCCCTTTTGAAGTCTCTTGTTAAAGAGGATTTTATTCTTCTACAGTGCACGTAAGTCTAAGGTTGAATTTTAGAAAATATTTGCTTGAAGTGCATTGTCAAGATAGTTATGGTCAAATTCTGTAGCCGAATTCTATTGCTTATGCTCCTTTTTCTATCACATTGTGGGTAGGCCGCGGTTAAGAGGTTTGTTACCGCTATAATTCGTACAGGACGGTGAAGGGTGGCCCTGGCATTATCGAACGCCCGTTCTACTTGTACCGCGCTGTACGTAGAGCAGGTGAGATGGCCCCATGTGCCACGAATTTCTCCTTTTGAATAATCGTCACTTCGTCAGATCGCTCGATCGATCCGTGCCAAATGGGCGGACGAAATTGCGATCGGATCGGACCGGCGCCACAGTGACAAGTTGTCCCCACAAATGCATAAACTTCCGTCCTATATGATCCGCACCGCATCCGCTCCTGCATTCTCCGAAGCTCACACTCATCCAGTCGCCCCACACGCCGATTGGATTCGGATCCCAATGGCCGAGCTCGCCGTCCTCCTCCTCCTCGCCGTGGCGGCGTCCGCCACCGTGCCGGCGCACGCCCGCGATCCCCCGACTCAGATCAAGGTATCCGCCCGTCCTTTCATGGGTCTCTTGACACATTCATCGATCACCTGTCGGGTCAGTCAGTAGTGGATCCGTGTGATTCCATCTCTGTCCCCCTGTCGTCGCAGCTCATCCGAGGCGCGGACGCCGGCGGCGTGGTCGGCGACAGCATGGAGTGCGTGTACACGGTGTTCATCCGGACGGGGTCGATCTGGAAGGCCGGGACGGACGCGAACATCACGCTGCAGCTGGCCGCCGCGGACGGCAACGGCGTGGGGATCTCGGACCTGCCCTCCTGGGGCGGGCTCATGGGGCAGGGCCACGCCTACTTCGAGCGCGGCAACCTGGACATCTTCAGCGGCCGCGGGCCCTGCATGGCGAAGCCGCCGTGCTGGATGCGGCTGACCTCCGACGGCACCGGCGCGCACCACGGCTGGTACTGCAACTACGTCGAGGTCACCGTCACGGGCCCGCACAAGGGGGTGCGCGCAGCAGCTCTTCACCGTCGAGCAGTGGCTCGCCACCGACGCCGCGCCCTACCAGCTCGAGGCCGTCCGCGACCTCTGCAGCGGCGGCGGCGGCGGGGCGTCGCGGCGGCGTGACGTGGCCGGCGACCGGCAGAGGAGAGTGTGAACGCGCCTGGACGGACCTGGGTGTGGCTTGGGTTGGTTGGTGATGAGTCGTAATAATAAGTTGTGGGCCGTGACGCGCTCGTGATTTGCGTGCGCCACGATGAATGCATGTATGATGAACTGAACTGGAGTCGTGCGCGGCGAGTTGAATAATCGGGAGCCACCTCGCGTGATGTGTAGCGGGTAGGTTTGGTTGTTTTGTAGATGGACGTGTTGCATCTTGATCCATGTTTTGGGAAATGGTAATCCGCGTTATCATGCGTGTTTCTTGCAGCTGCCAACGCTTGGATTTGATACCAATTGAAGTTTCTCCAAGATCCCTGTCTTTATCTTTATCCTGGGTAGCGTTAGCGTCCAGACGTATGGAAGAACACTCGCACTTGCTCTTCGTTTTCCTCATGTGTGCATGCACTCTACGCCCGTGCTCACGCTAGCGTTTCGCGCGCACATGCAAGGCCCGCGCTGCCAGACCGCGCGCATGGACCGCTCACACCTACTCCGCTTTCTCACGTACATTGCAACATGTGCAACATCCCGATCTACTTTTACAACATACAGATGAAACACTTACAACATACATCTGAAACACTATAAAACACCTGAAAAAACACTTAAAAGCCATTACAAGCATATGCAACATCCAGTTGAAACAATTACAACATATGTGTGAAATATATGCAACGTCCAGATAAACACACTTGCAACTTACGTCTGAAAAATAGATGAAACATTTGGAACAGACGTTTGCAACATACGTATATAGTCATTGCAACATATGCAATATTTCGATCTACTTTTGCAACATCCATATGAAACACTTACAACATACATCTAAAACATCTGAAACACTTAAGCATACTCTTGCAACATGTTAGGAGAGATATTCTACTGGGCGGCGACCACCATGTCAGGCGCGCTAAGGAACTCGATAACCGCCTCAATGGGCAGATCAGGGCTAGGAGGCGACAGAGTGAAGAGCACCTGGGACTTGGCCATCGCGACATTCTTCCGGTAGGGGCACCGGGCCAGGGCGTGTGGAGCCTCGAGGCGGACGCGAAGTACGGCACGGCCGCGACACCCTCACCATCTCTAGCCGCAGGAGGATGTGATGAGGAAGACACCGATGCCGACGTCAGCGATGAGGCAGGGGTGGGCGGGAGGTGTGGCACAACCGCCCGAAATAACACACTTTCGGAGGTGCTCGTCTTTCACTAGATACTAAGCACTTCAAAAGTGAGCTACATCGGACAGTTCCGTCGAGCACGCCCCAAGGAAGAACTTGAAACAATCCATGTTTTACATCCAGAATCCAGTAATGAGTACGAGCTTATAATACTTAATCCATTTCATACAACCAGAGTTCTTAGAAATCATTTATTACAATACCAGAGTCCAGAGTGCGATAATTAAACAACGGAATGAAAATAAACATCTAGCAGAAACGATAAAAGGATCCGTCTGTGCGCACCAGAAGAATTCTCCACACAAGAGCTACTCCTCAAGCTGCAACTACAGCAGGGGTAAAATAAACCTCAAGGACACAATGTACTCGCAACACTTACCCGACTAGTGGAAATAGTTTTCTCACTCCAAGGAGTATGATAGGCAATATGGGTTTGTTGTTTTCTTTTTGTTTGCGAAAAGCATTACTAGAAGTGCGTCCTTATTATCAAGTTTAATTAGCAGTCATAATTACTTCATTAGCTAACCATTCTAGGTAAGCACATGTTCTACTTTCAAGCAAGAGTTGAGCAATCAAAACCATTTCACCATCTTTCATCTTCCAGTTCTTAATACGGTGCTAGACCATAGCCCAGTCGTATCGTCTCACGAAAATGACGATTCGTGAATCAATGTATCCTAGCTGGGTACCCCAAAACACACGCCCCATTTGTACCCCAGGCACAAACAAGACCAAACCATTTTACTCCTGTCATGAGGTCTAGGTCTCCGTCCAAAACTTAGACTCTAAGCCCCCACACTTGAGACCCGGCCTCACTATGGTGCTTAGACCTCCACCTTTCTCCATCTCCAATCAGTTGGTCCGAAAAGAGCCAGAACCCACGACAAGAGCGTAACGAGCCTTCCCGCTCCCATAAGCAAGTATGTGCTCAGGATAATAAGTCTGTGACCTGACTACCATCCACAGCAACGGACGATCCTTAATCGACATGAACAGGAAAAGTGTTGGGTTCAACTAACAAATACCTAGCTTTATAAATGAAGGATATATCTTTATTTCTACTAATGATTTAATGTAAATTTAAAACAAAGAGCATTTAACTACCCTAATGCTTAGTCTATTCTAAAGCTACAAAAATTACAGTGAGCACATAATAATACAATGAAGCTACCATAAAAATTTTAGGACTAAAGCTATCACCAATTTACCACAAAAATTCCTCCAATATTTAACCTAATAATATTAAGCACTCTCAAATGATTTAATAGACCTCGGTATCAACATGTATATATATGAACTCAATACACAAACAGATAGAGCATAATTTTAGGAACCTAACAAAATTAGTTTCACATTTTTTGGACACCTACATGATTTTATATTATTTACCAAAGATCAGCTCAAAAATTAAATTAGAAAGCTATTTCTAATTCCTTATGAAAAAGAAAAACAAATTCTCCCACGCTGCCCACACTGCATTACGTGACATAAGCGATGCTGCACGCTGAAGCTCATGGCTGCCCATGACGGGGAATCCAGCTTATTGGCGATTTTGCAAAAGAGACCTCACACTTCTCCCGAATTACAACTAAGTACTAACACTATTTTCTCCTCTCTCAGAACTTCTCACTTAACCCCCTGGCTTTCCTAAAATTTTCCCACGTGCACCCCCGGCAACTCAGTGCACGGCGACGCGGCGAGCGGCGGCACTGAGCGCCTACGCCAGGCACCTGGGACCTGCACTGGCCCACCTAACGGGTCGATCACCATCTCTGATCTTGGTGGCTATGCTAAGCGGCGGCGAGGGGTGGTGGGACATGCTGGAGCGAGCTGCAGTGACGCGCGCCCATCCGTGATGGCGGTGCAGCTGCCCCGACGATCTAGAGCACCTAAGAACCTAACTGGCTATTGAGGAAGCATCAGTAGACTACCATAGACCTAGCTGAGGTGACGGTTGGGGTGGGGGATGGCGGAGGAAGGCTGGCCACATGCGGTCGAGCCGTGCGATGGCACACCGCGGCATTATGGTTGCGTCCGCGATGATGGGGATGCGGTAGCGGTTCCGCTGGCGTGTGTAAGGTGGAGAGGGAGACAAGGTGAAGCTAGTGGGGCAGTTGAATTGGTTTGGGATGGTCGGTAGGAGGGCTGCCCACATCCACGGCCGGACATGGCCTTATCGGCATGGCGGCAGGAAAACTCAAAAATTGGAGCTTGGCCATGCGCGCATCAAGGCTGGGGGTCAGGGGTCGGGTGGCTTAATGGAGAATCTAGGGATGTGATGAATCGAGTGATGGTGACTCAGGTTGCTCATGATGAGGATGAAGACAAGGAACTAGTTCTGCTAGTCAAATTTCGGTTTCAATCAAGTTGCTCAGATGAAATAGTTGCTGTAATTTTTAGCTGTATCATCAAACCCTGTGTACTGCTAGCCGAATTTCACCATGGCCGTGGCAAAATGGCTACTGATTCTTTTCTCCCAGATAACCTCCCAACTTATAAATTCTATAATCCTTCTTTTGTGGTCCGTCAATTCGGCCTTGGTCAACTACCTCCTCGGCTATTCTTTAGGAACACTCTAAAGCCAAGAGAAGGTATCAGTCTGATGATGGAAGTTTCTAGAGTTTTTCAACTGGGATCAAACCTTCCTTCTCTTTGCCTGCATGAATGGACAAGAGCTACCTTTTGCTCAAATTTGTTTGATTCCTGGTGGCAAGAATGGCACTCTCACCTCTTCTGCAGTCCAATTCATCCCAACTGTTTAGCCCTAGATGGGGAATTTGCTTCTGATAGTGAGGTAATTTACTACTTTTCTTTCAGAAGGATTCTCTAACAAGTTCTCCTATCAATTCTTCTAACAAATTCTTTTGCAGGATATCAAATTTGATCCGTCAAGCGTGGATAGGAAAGGGCATCCCATAGAATATTATCCACCATGTCTAGCCTTAAGAATGGGATCAACTACACCCACTCTAAAAAAGTTGATGAAAACCCTAGCTGCCCCAACAATACTCACATATCAGTCTTCAAAATGCAAGGCAACCCAAGGTGTAACTTAGAAAATCACCACTGGGAAGAGACTTCGCAGAACAAAATCACCAATTGCCCAGGTAACTTAACTTATCTTCCCTCTTAAGATGATATCCAATTTCTAATTCAATCCCTTTCTTACAGCCATCGACTACTGCATCTCAATCTACCTTGGGTGTTGAATTATTGTCCCAGGCATTTGAATCAGCGTCTACCAACCTCTCATCGGCTAATCCCCCTAAGGAGCCAATTACAACTGAAATAACCGATGCTTCTGACAGACCCAAAATAGCAGAAGATGAGAACTTCTCTACTTTACCTCCTGATGCCACTAAGGTATCTCCTCAAGCCTTTTACCCTTATGCAATCCTCACTCTTCTCTGATCATTCTCCTTTATCAGACACCACCTAAGAAAACATCTACACAAGAGCAAAGGTCTCACAATCCAACGGTTGAAAATGACCCTGTTGATGCTGATACCCAAACCGTTGATTCCCCAACTCAGCAAACAGTCTATGGTAAGAAGTTCATATGCTCATTCTTGTCCTTCTATAACAAACATAAAACCAAAAAACTTTTTAATGCTTGCAGACACCAGCATTGAAAGTCCAGAGCTGATTCAACCAAATGTTAAAAAAGATGTTGGCACATCATCGGCTGTTCCTTCTCCTCAGCCAGAGTCTCTTCCAGAAAAGGTATTGTGTTCCTCTCACCATTCATCTCATTGTCAACCCATTTGTCATTTCTAATAAGATTCCT